GCAGATTTTATATTAAAATTAATAAGAATTTGTCACATGATTTTAATAAAAATTTGCGGAAATAATGTAGAATTTTTCCGTCAGTGTTTACATAGTACCTGCCGGATAAATTTAGGTATATCGAAAAATGCTAAAAATTTTTCACAGTAACATTTGTTGAGATAATGTTGATATAATAATTAATTAAGGTATTGATATGTACTGAGAATTTACAAGCTTATAATCGAACATGAATTTCATAAATTTTGCTTACAACGTGGCTAAAGTGGCTACAATTGCTATAAGTCTTTCCGAGTCGTAATATTGAGTAACAAAAACAGAACTCGATTTTTGTTAACTATCACTAATAACTAGCGTTAGTTTTTTATCAAGTATTTAAAGAACGTAAGATTAACCCACTTTTTTAATGATACGTATACATTATTGCGCAAAAATTGATGAAAAACGATACTTTATTATCAAACATGTGATTGCGCGGAATACATTAGTAGATATAAACTTTATTGTTGCTCAATAGAAATAATTAAACGGATCAAAAGTTTTTAAAGTTATCCGAACGTGCAAAAAAAATAAAAAATTCAGCTTTTATTTTATATCATACTAATCAAAAAACTTTTCTCTTTTCATAAATTGCAAGGGGAATTGTACTAAATGACCATAAACTCTTGCAAGCTGTTCTGCTACTTCGCCGATTGTGTGGTTAGAACACATATGACCTGAATTTGATTTGGAAACAAACTCTTTACAAGCCTTCCAACTTAAAACTGTAAAATAATTTAGGTATACATAATTAGCTTTTTAATAAAAAGAAAAATAATAAATAAAAAAAATTACCATTATCGTCCGGAATACAGTGAAAAATATTTCTAAAAATTTTAGTATTATATTTGGCTTTATTGAGCCATATGTTCTTGTAAAAGGAATCACATATAGGATCTACCACCAAATGATCTTTATCATCGGATAGACCGATATGTTCCATAAAGAGTTTTTTTCGAAGAGTGTAAGCAAAATTACTCGCCTTCCACTAAAATAAATTTTTTTTAGGATAACGATAATACATAGAATTATTTAATATTATGAACGAAAATTTTTATTACCAATTTGCCATTCATTTTAGAATCAACCATTTGCGTATCTTCTATTATAGCGGCAATTTCAGAATCATAATCACCAACCATTGATCTGTCATTCAAATTTGCTGAATATGAATTTAGTCAATTAAAATTTTATTATTCAAATGTGAAAAAATTAAGTTTGTTAAAAATTAAAAGGACTCACCTGAACCACAAATCACTTTCCTGTCATCAACAATCATAATGTTAGAATGAACATATACTTGCTCAGCGACAATATCTTTGGTAGAGATGTCTTTGAAATTTTTTGAATTGAATAAATCTTGTTTATTTTTTCCAATAATACCCCAATTACGAAGTCCATAAAATGTAATGTAGTCTTCTGGTAGTTTTCCCTTTTCCTTGCAAATGTCTGAAATAGTACTCATCAAACCTCGAATTGATTGATATTGATAACGAACAATTTGACTTTTATATGTTAGATTATAACAATATACATAGGAGTTTTGAAACCTAAATTTACCGCTTACCATAATTGTAGGTTATTGGGATCCAGATCACCCGGTATTTCTGGGAGTAAAGGTAATATTATAATTGTCCTAAATCGGCTGTCTTCTTTTTCTTCTTCAATTGCTCTTTTAATACGAGCAGCGATTGCCTAATCATTATTTATCTCATTACATGAAATTAAATTTTTATATATACTTTACTATATATAATTAAATTACCTCTCCGATCCGATTTTTAGCATGTTTATCATATTCTTTTTTAGTAGATGTAACTGAAAAAAATATTTAAAAGGTTTGTACGTACGTAAAGTAAGTAAGAAATTCGAAAAATAAAATAAGTACGTACGAAAAAATTGATTTTCAATATAAATAAAATGTTCCGCTTTGTGAATCATGTCAATATAAGCATTTTGTATAGATTTCTATTAAGGCATTTATTAGCAATGTGTTTAATTTAAATTAACTGACAAAGTCTAGAAAATTTAAAATCACCTCAAGATCAATGCCATTACTCCAGTTTCCACAACTTCGAAGAATTTGGACATTACAGTTACCAAGATTGTTGGAGTCGATCTCAAGTTCAGAAATCTGCTCTGGCGAAGGTTTAATTTCTGGAGTGAAAATGGTAATCTGTTTTCCTTTAATGAACTCCCATCGTTGATTAAAATGTGAGACGAGATCCAGCACGCATTTTCCTTTCTGAAAAATTTCAATTAATAAGTATTAACTTTTAAATTCTTAAAACATGTATATTTCAAGAACGTACAAAAGAGATGGAAACATCATGCCATGGCATTCTTGCATCTCTTGACTTTTTAATCAAAGACTCTTTCCATACACGTACTACAAATTTCAACAATTCGTTAAAGTCAATCATAACATGCAATTAATTTAATGTGCGTTTAGACCGAATAATATCTAAAAATATGTTTAATTATAGCTAAATAACTGTGATCTAATGATTTGCTAGACATCTTTGATATAACCCGGAATAATAGCCCTTTTGTAAATATTTATCATACCAAACTCAAGATCTTTAATTCTGGGATTGGTATAATCTTTCCCGGGCCAAATTTCATTACACTTATAAGTTTTAGAAGCTTCAGTGAGAATATGTTCCTTAGTATCGTAGCGACCAAAGCACAAATCTATGCCACCGATAAATGCTTCATATTGATCGATAATTATAACTTTCTGGATGATAAGTATTGAATGTACAAATTATTATTTCTTAAAATAATCTTCAAATTCATTTGTAAGAATCAAAACTCGTACTTCATGATGCTATTAAGTGAAAAAAAATTGATAATGATCTATTTAATAAGAAACTTTGGCATTAATTATCAAAAGCACATATACTTACATACCAAGCCAAGTTCATGCTATCAACATTGGGAATAGTCAAATCGAAAATATTAATCAAATTATCGAAGGCGACTGATGCAATGTTACCAGAAGAATGTCTCAGAACTATTTGAATTAAAAACAATTCAATGATTTTTTATATTGCACATTTCAAAGATAATTTATATTATTCTATTAATTCTATTACAATTACCAAAAATATTATCATGTTGTAACATTTCTTCACTATGTTGAGAATCTATTTTAAAATATTCTGGTTGCTCTTGATGGAGTATAATAAAAATCTTGATTCCATCATCAGCTTTCTTCTTGAGAAGAGAATGAAGACGAAGACTTTCTTCATCTTTATCGCAAGGTCTTAAGAGATACTACATCAATTTAAATAAAAATCAAAAAATTTTCTCAAGACGTCAATATTTATAATTATCGAGTTACTTATGTGATTAAAAAAATTTACAAGTTCAGGAGAAAGCCACCATCCCATAATCAAGATTTCTTTTTTTGCTTCACAGATAGCTTTCTCGATAGCCTGAAAGTAATCATGGCCATCAATGTAAGCTTGCACTTCAACATTCTTTTTTACATTGGCGAAGGATCCATATGGATCATATTTAATTAAAATAACTGTTGTATTCTCTTCCATTTATACAATATCGTAAATTTTAAATGGGAATAAAAATAAAAAATAAAATAAAATAAAATTAAAATAAAAAATACAAGACTATTATTATATATATACTTTTCGTTTAATTTATTTTTGTATATCGATATGGAATAACCTTGTACTCCGGATTTACGAATTCTTAAAGTATTTTGTGAAAGGGAATGGTTACTCATTTGCATTACATTTAGTTTATAATGATTTGCATAAATGTTTTTATTTTATTTTTTGCATGCGATAATATTACGTTACCTTGTGATCTAATTCTTATGAACAAATTGTTTTATAATCAAATTGACATAGACACCAGAGCTCCAGTTAGCAACGCCATTATGTTTTTATTAGTGCTCGGCACAATCAAGCAAAATTTGACGATACCAAACCATAGATTAAGTCAATCATACATATATATATATATATATACGCATATATATATGACTGATTTGAGCTTGGTATCTGACTCGATCAAATAGATCAGGTTATGTACCCATCCACATAAATCGTCTCACTTGTATATGCTTCGATATTATTGAAACTTGCTTTCCAATCATTGTATGCTAAATAAAAGATAATCATCAACAGAATTAAGAGTTAGCTTTTTTTTTAAAAAAAAATCACGCCTTAACTCTCACTTCGATAGTTTTAAATTTTATCGAGATATTGATAGCAAAAAGTTAGGTTGCTATTAATCTGATTGATATCTATTAACGGCTGACTGGATAATACTGTATTATCAAAGAATATAGAGGTAGATACTGCAAGTTTTTGACAAGTAAATATCAAGTTAAAAAATAAACATAGATATCTTCTGTTCGGTGTTGTAATTGAAAGAATAGACATACTAATTTTTAATTGGACTATATCCAAACCTGCTTAGAAATATGGATTTTTTATGAGGTCAATTATTTTGTAGAAACTGCAGCTTTATTAACTATATATTATGGTTAGTATAAATGTATGGATATTCAGAAATACTGTGAATAAATAAAAGAATTTCCTACATTAAAAATATTTTGCACTTAAACTTTATAACAGTTTGATCATGTCATTCTAATTTATTTAGAGTAAATGTTATTAAACAATTGTGAACAGTAGATCAAATGATTTACCGTACAGCGCTGTATAACTCCGGCCTTTTTCAAAAATGCCAAGATAAATTAAATAATACAGTACCCGGAGTACTATAATCCGGATTTTACTGATTATTCGGATAAAATTTTGATTTCAGATAATTATCCATCATTTAGTTTATGACGTAATTTAAAGTCATCATTGGTAAATTGTTTTAATTCGGCCTTTTTGATTTTTTATCGCTATGTCATAACACAAGTAAAACCCATTGATTATACGTGTTTGCATGATAATAATTTCTTATCATCCGATTTATCCAAATATCTGTCGGAGTTAATCAAAAACGGATAGACAGACTCCGGTTATCCGAACGGACAAGAAGAGAGTATATTATGTGAGTTGATCATATAACGGCACAGAGTGCAGTACTTAATACCAGATACTTTTAATATATTAAAGTCTACAATCGATACTATTAAGGGGTTGCTTTTTCAAGGGAGATGCTGTACACAGCGCTGTACGGTAGATGCTATGTAGCAATATCAAGACCTTTTTTTACAGCCGATGCAGAGTTTGCTAAAGCTAAACCATTCTAATATTTATAATTTAAAATATGCATTTTTTATTTTATATATAAAAACAGGAAAATATAAATATTATAGAAGCTATAAGTATTTATACTAAATAAAATAAGATATTAAATATTACAATAATATATATACTATTAAACATAATTATTTTAGTATGGTTTATAGGAGTTACAAGAAATTTAACTAGGCAAATCTATAATCAATTTCATATTATTGGTATTGCGAACTTCTATTTCATCTTTCATAATCTTGTTGGTTTTATTGATTGTATTTTTTTGAGTTGCGATATACCGAGATTTGTAAATTGCACCAGGATGTATAGGAGATTTTTTGATGCTTTTCATATTCCTATCAGATTCATCAAATTGTTTACGAATTTCTGAAGGCTCACTAGTCGATATATCTTTCTTACATTCATTTCTCCAATGAGTGAATATATCGTGTAATTCTTCAACTGTTGGTCTTTCATTAGGATCTTTATCCCAACACCTTTTCATAAGCTCTTCATAACATTTTGGTGTATTCACAGCAATTTCTGGACGTAATCCATCGTTAATTTCCAATTTAAGTCTTACATCATGATCACGGTCAGAATATACAGGCCTCCCTGATGAAATTTCCCACATTATAATGCCAAATGAATAAATATCCGTTGCTTTTGTAAATCGTTCTCCAAGCAACAATTCTGGTGCAATGTATGGTAATATACCATATACACCATCTGATTTAGATGAGGTAGAAATTCCAGAGCTGCATTCCGAAGAAGTTTCTGAATCGGTATAGAGAGAAAGTTCCATTCCTGCTTCTGGATTTGTTGGGCAAGAGAGTCCCATATCAGCAATGTATGGAATATTCATTTCATCTATTAATACATTTCCAGAATGTAAATCTCGATGAATAAATCCATTTTCATGAATATTATAAAGGTCTTTTACGATGTCTATTAAAATAATAAGTTTTTCTTCCCAAATTTCATGTGCCAAATTATGTAAATTATGTCGTAAATCATGTTTTGGCATATAATCCAATACAAGAATGTAAAATCCAGTTTTTGGATCTTTAGAGATCCCATAACATCTAAGAAAACCAAATTTTCTATTTTCAAAGCATTTATAATACGCTTTCAACTATTTAAATTTTCAAAAATTTTTAATCAATTTGTGTCACTTTTTTTTTTTTCGAAATTTACTTTTTTACAACAATTTTTACGATACCTCATTCATAAATTCATCAGAAATATTTTGAGATCCTTTAAGCATTTTGAGAGCAACTACTCCATATATTTCTTCCCAATAAGCAGAATAAACACTGGCAAATCCACCTGCCCCAATTTTTTTAATATTTGAAAATTCCTGATAAGAAATCCATTCTAATGGATAAGTCGAAGTATTTTGACTATATTGAATAAATTTATCAATTTCAGAATTCCCACTAGTCCAATTCTTTGGTGATTCCAAACTATTAGATTGTCCCATAATCGTAAGAAGGAAAATATTCTATTCTTTTTGTAAAAAAAAAAAAAAAAAACAAAGAATAGATTTTATAAATTTGTTTCATATCAGAGAAAAAAAGTATCACTTAATAAATTTTCCACTATCACAAAATATTTTGATGAAAAAATTCATTAATAAACAATTTGTACAAATATCTTTTTCACGCGTAACATTATTTTTAAAAAAAGGAGTTGCGTTACGCAATTATGTGCATTTATAATAAAGAAACTATTTTGTTTGTAAAACATGCTGTGTCAAGAAATCCTTTATATTGTATGCTAATTAGTACTGTATCACACATTCACAACTTTTAAGGAAAGGTGAATAAAAACAGTGACGATAAAATTTATTCTTTAAATATTGTAGCTTGCAAACATAAATAAGCAACTTCCTATTCAGATTTTTTTTTTTAAAAAAAAAAAAAGCGAAGCGAAAATGAATGAGGATACCCTCGAGTTAGCACAGGCTGTAGTCATCCCTCTAGCAATATTCATACCTTTATTTCGTGAAATCACAGACATTACTAATGATATTATTGAGTTATATAAAACTGCTCATACCAACAAAAGAATTTGTGGTGTACTACTTGACAGGGTCCAAGCAACTGAGGCCGCAGTAAAAAACTTGATCCTTCGTGAAAAAGAAAAATCCGAGTTTTTTACTGGACCAAATAATGTTATTATAAGAAAATTAGTTTGTATCATGAAAAAAATTAAAGAATTTATTAAAGAAATTAGTGAGCTTAAAGGTTTGAGAAAATATCTTGTTAGCAAAGGGGTAGAAGAAAGATTTAAAGAGCTTACTAATGAATTTGATGGTTATATATTCAATTTAAATTTTACAATAACCATTGAATTAAGAGCGCAAATCGAAAAAGATAATGATGTCTTACGTGTTGATCAAGAGGAAACGAATCAGGTAAAAAAAAATAATAATAATTTTTTTTTTTATATAAATTATAAAGAAATGCTAACGTTAATAATGTTAATCGATTTTGACAATCACCCTGGGGTTGATCTAGCTACTTTTTCAACTAGCGGAAAGTATAAATTTCAACCAAAAAAAGGTCGATAGTGACATCAGTTATATTAAAGAGGATGTTGTGAGTGTTAAAAAAGATGTCGCTGTAATAAAAAATCAATTTATCTTGATGGTGAAATGTTTTGAAGAATTTGCTATAATCAAAGAACGTGCAAAGAACATTGCTGATGCGTCATTAAATATCTTGGATTTCACACCCACTTCAGAAACGCGTGGCAAAGTTCGAAAGTGGACGAGGAAGTCAGATGATTATGATGTTGCTTTTAAAGAAATGGATGAGAGCCTTTTGAAAAACCTTAATCGTGAAGTTGGTCTGTTGAAAATGCTTCAAGAATCACGTGATGTAATCCAGTTCTTCGGTTTAGTGGAGGATAAGCATCATTCAACATTATATCTTGTTACTGAATGGGCACAACACGGAAACCTACGTGAATATTATAAGAAACAAAAGCTTGATCAATCTTCAAAAATTCAAATTGCGCTAGATATCGTTCGTGGACTTAATTTTCTTGAGGCCTACCAAATACTACACCATGATATCCGAAGTGCAAATATCATGATCGGCACTTATGGAAATGCGAAAATTGCAAACTTTGGAATGAGTCGCGGTTTTATTGATACTTCGAGAAATATTAAATCGACTTCTAATACTATTCGGTACATGGCTCCAGAAAAGATACGCGGTATGCCTTATGATTCACGATGTGAAGTTTTCAGGTAATTGATTTTTTTTTTTTCAAATCGATTTCTTTCTCTTTAAAAAAAAACATTTTTTTAATTATTTCTTTAGTTTCGGAATGTTACTTTGGGAAATAGCTGAAATGGAACTGCCATTTTCAGAATATAAACATGAATATGATATCAGGAATAAAATATTGGAAGATCCTATACAATTATCTTTTAAGAATGATATGCCTATAAAATGGAAAAAACTCGTTTTGAAAGGTACGCAGACTGTTGCATACAGTGTTTGCATTTGAACTATGTTCAATAAAAATTTCATTTGGGCACAGATATATGAAACATATAAAATCCTATATATCCAAATTTGTCCAAATAAAATTTTATACGTATTGTTCATATTGCAAACACTGGTTGCATATAAACATACGTGCATACAAATACAGAAATAGTGGTATGGTAATAATTATTTATCATTTGTACGTATTAAATAGCAACGAATTGTAATCCGGATAAACGTCCTCAATTTAAAAAAATACTTGCGAAGCTTAAGGATTTAAATCAAACACCAGTCACATCTACTGACCAAAATGTTTCATCCCAAAAAAAAGCATATATAAAAAATATTATGTCAATTGAAGATGCGATAAAACAACATAATAAAATGGATGGTGATAAAGCTAAAGCTTGGGAATCTTTTGAATTTTATTCTCAACTGGGTATCTTCATTCATTTTAATAGACTTGTAAAAGTCAAATTAAACCTTTTCAACAATCCACATATATAACAACTAATAAGGAAACTTACAGGATTTGTTTTTTTTTTGTTTTTTTTACAGGTGACGCAACAGCAAAATATTATAAAGCTTATTATCTATACAAAAATTTTCTGGAGTCCCCATGTTCTAAAGAACAAAGACTTAATCAAGCTGCTAAACTGTTTAAAGAAGCAGCTGATGATGGTGATATAACAATTTCTCAGTATTATTATGCAGTATGCTTATACCATGGTCTTGGCGTGGAAAAGGATTTAAAATCTGCCTATGAATATTTTTGTAAAGCAGCTCATAAAGGTGATGCGAACTCAATGTTTAATATTGGAAATATGTATTATGAAGGCGTAGGTGTTGAGAAGAATGTTGAAGAAGGTATTCATTGGATTAAAATGGCTGCTTATAATGATCTTGCTTCAGCTGTTAAGCTATGTGAGGAAAAGAGTATCCCACTTTGAATGTTGATTGTCTTGTGGTTAATGTTATTTAACTTCTTCAATGGACTTGCCTTGAGAGAGAATATTACACATATTCAGTACGACCATAATTAGTCAATATGATATTAGTGTTTCTTGACAAGAAAAATACCGGTATTAAATAACGTATCATACTTCTTGTCGAGGAATGCCTAATATAATGCATGCATCACATAACACATTCACGCTGAATGCATTATATAATGTAGGACACAAATAATATAGAACACAAATAATAAAGGATTACTAGAAATAATTTGTTGGTAAGTATTTATTCTTTCAAATAAACTAGCATCAAGTCTCATCAATCGGATTTCTTTACACATTTCAAATCGTAATTTAATTGTGTAATCATCACACCTTTACCTTCGAGGGAGGAATTGAGAACTAATATTTTAAATATGTAATGGGTAATACATATATTTTAATTGTAGAGTTTAATGAATATTTAATATACGCCATTTTGAAAAAAAATATCCAATTATACGTAATAATAAAGTTTTTATTAAACATATACTGTCTGTATTTAGTAACAATGTTGTACGTCGAAATAGAAACTTGCTAAATTTAAAATCTATTTAACTGTTAAGTAGATTCGAAATGCACTTTTGAAACGAAATTCTGAATTCATTCAAAATTGGTAAAGATTTCAAACTCACATGTAATATGCGTATGTTCTAAAAATTAGTTATCGCGGCTGAAGCTGAGAATCTGCTGATGCTAATACAGTATTCCGTAAAATGGAATAATTTAAAGCAACTTATATTTCTAACAATTCATCAAATTTTCGCGTTATTTTTGAAGATTGCAATTTTTAAAAGTTCTATAACTTCACAAAGAATAAAGGTAATAAAAAAATGAATTATTTATGTAGAGCAAAGGAATGAATCAATTTTATTAAAAATTTGGTGAAGATAAAATCTTGGAATTTAAACATAAATTATTACATTGTCTATCCCTACTTTATATGACTAATTTTTGTACTTATAAACCCTACGTATAAAGTAAAAAAACGGAAGTAACATGCTTGTGTTCAGTATTTGATTGTACAAATTTAAGGATCAGATTTTTTTTAGTAACGGTAATTAATAGCCTTACTAACATTAAAAATCACCAATATGTCTCTAGTTGATGTTACCAAGCTAAGTAGAGAAAGTTGTCAATACCCTATTAAAGCAGAATTAAAATATGCGACGAAAAAAAATTTTGTTGGTAGAATTATCAATGGTTATGATTCTACGATTATTGATGTAGCCCTTCTGATGCCGAAGGCAGCAGAGGCACTTTGCTTAACACAAAATTATTTAAATGAAAAATATGGATATGGTCTACTCGTTTATGATGCATATCGTCCAAAACGAGCTGTACAAGATATTTTATCTTGGTCAAAGCAACCTCCTATCGATGAATATGAATTAGAAAGAAAACAAAAACATTACCCTAAAATCGAAAAAAGTCAACTTTTTGACTTAGGATATGTTTGTGAAGATTCTGGGCATTGCTATGGGAATACAGTTGATGTAGTTTTACAAGTTATTAAAACTGGTGAAATACTTGATATGGGCGTTAGATATGATTTTATGGATGAAATATCTCACACAACCGTAGATTCTACACAAATTGGTGAAGTAGCATATAAAAACAGGCATGTATTATCCGAGGCCATGCAAAAATTCGGATTTCTACCTTATACAAATGAATTCTGGCATTTTAGCCACGGAGGTGAAGAAGGTCGTGAAGTGAAAGTGCCTCTTGATGAAGTCATTACAAGAAAATAGATATTCTGAGACTGATCTATATACTGTATTAAAGCCTTGATTACGTAGTCTTAAACTATATGTTGTTAACTAAATATTGTTAACTATATATTGTTAACTATATTTTGTGACTATATGTTGTGAATTATATGTTGTTTTATGACTTGTACCATCTTTGCAAAAAACGCAAGTGTCAAAATATTATAGATCTTAGTATATATTGTTAGCATTATTAAGTTGCCAAAAGAAAATTTTTATATTAAGTCGTAATCTAATTTCTTGCTATGTTCTTATTAGAGCAAAGAGTTTGTAATGTTAACAAACTTAACTAAATCTACATTTTTATAGTCCAATATTGAAATTGTACCAATACGATTTCTTTTAGAAATGATAACCCGAATATCCGATTTTGCAGGTTATTATTACAGGTAAAATTACCTGCATCCAATAATCGTACATATTTACCCCTGTTAAAGTATTAACAGCTCGCGATTTTACTTTTACAAGGGTTATTTCACCAACAAAAAAAAAAAATGGACGAGGTGTTGTTAGAAATAGTTAAAAATGCTATCGGCTAAAAGCTCTTTACAAAATCCGGCTTACACTACCATTGTGTATTTATATGGGTTGTACTATCAAAGCAATTTTGATCAGGCAAATTTTCCTGCAAATCCGTTTAAAGGGATAAATAATTTTTAATCAACGAATCTGAGTTCTATAATAGGCGTATATTTAACTAAAAAATTACGTATACTAAATAATGATTAGCGTAGTAGATTATAAATTCAATTAGCAAAAACAAGAATCTCAATACTTTCATCAATATTTTTATCCAAGTAAAGTACAAAATGAGTAGTAAGTCTATTAGAAAATTAGATATTATCATAAATATAAAGGTTTTTTT